AACTTGAAAATATTTCCAAACGACATCAGTACATTATGCTTGTACCGATATACATACTATAATTTATAACTTTTATAACATTAATTCGTTTGAGTTCATTCATTTTTAAAATAGTTTATGACAAAACGCATTGTTTTCATTTAGCAATGAACTTAGTTAAAACGAAAACAAATTTGTACGTATAAAATAAAAAATGAATAGTTACGATTTTACTGTACCTAATATTTACAAGACCGCTTTTCTTTACGGTCGTGTTTTAATGGTGGTACTCACATAGTTATTATATATTTTACGCAATACATAAATAGTGTAATATTATGATTATAGTCGAGTAAGATAATAATATTTTTTTACAAAAAAAAAACTATTGCTGTAACTTATAAATAGGTACATACTTCAATATAATTTTATACAAAAAAAAACTCAAAAATCGGATGGAAAATCAGTGTTCTTAATTTAAAAGAATTGCTTCGTATTCTGTATATTCTGTATATAATATATTTAATTTTTGCATCAACCTGGTTTCAATCAACGGAGAAAAAAAGTCTTTGATGGTTGTCATCTTTATAAATGTATTTTTATGTCTCCGATAAGTCGTAAAAAACTGTTGCAGTGCTCGTGATATCTATTGTCAAGGTTAAGGTCGTGTCGGGTTTTTGAACACCCTAAAAAAATTTATATATTATTTGGTACCTATGTAACGGAATTCGAACGATTCGGATATAATGGTATAATATCACACAAATAGGGTACCAAATATACACTCTGTGGTTTTTATATTAATAATCATTAAGCGCTCTGTCGCCATATTACTATGCAGAAGCCGCAACTTCTATAGCCGTGTGCATATAACGGTTCGGAGATGTCCCAAGAGCCGGCGCGAGTCGACCGACGACGACTGGAAATTCTTTTAATATTTTTACACTCCTCGTGAAAGGAATGTTGCTATTGATAAGTATAAAAAATAATAATAATAAATAAAAAATAAAAAACCGGTTCCACAAGTGCACGCTGCTGCTGCTCTCTCGTCGCTGCCCGAGCCTACTAACCTTGTTTATTAATGTTCGTGAGTGTATCCACGCAGCCGCCGCCGCCGCCGTCGCCGCGGTGTGCCAGCCTCGCCAAACCGGCAATTATTCCGAAATCGAAAGGGAGAAATTTCTCAAGTACATTTGTGTGAGTATTAGTGTATGCGTTTTTTTGACCGCTGTTTCTTTCTTTTATCGGCTTTTACTTTCTAGTTTTTACAGCCCCGAGGCTTATTATATTGTATAGCTGCGTAAAAGTTTTCGTAAATTCATTTGAATTATGTCTGTTTTTAATTTAAAATCTGATTTTCATTTATTTTTCAAATTCTCGTTGTATAAAAAAAAATTATTTATTTTCGAAATAAAACGAGAACATCATTTGATTTTTCGAACTTTTTGCCATAATTCTATTCATTTTTCTTTTGAACTGTAATTGCATTCAACACTCATGCTATATATATATTATATATCCACAATGCTCATTCGAATAAAACTTCTAAAAAGGTATTTTGTATTTCAAAAATAATTTTATAAAAAGTACCTTACTTAATAATAAAGTTGTTTTGCAGTTATAATATTTAGGACATTCTTATTATTTTTAAGTAAAAGTTTTGCSAAAATTGTTTACTGTTATAATATTTGATATTAATAATTTCATACCCTGCATTTAATATTTTATTCTCTCATCGATATCAAATTATATTTATTTTTGTTTTTCGTTTATAAAACACGGGTTATTGAGTTTGGCGTCTGTGAAATTTTCCTCATTTAATGTTTATTCGTTGAAATGTTGATAATAATTTTCATAATATTATACTACGTATTATACCTACTAGGAAATATAGTTTGATATGTTTGAAAAAAAATTACATTTTAATGCCTGAATGTCTCGTGTAATATTATATCACTATTAGTCATAAATCTTGTTAAATTTAAATAGTAACTATGATTAACAAAAACGATACTATTTCGATCAAATGAAGAGGGAAAAAATCAAAATTAGGTGTAACAGACGATTATAATCATAATAATATGAAAATAACGACACTTATATATATATATATGCACCGGTACCGTGTATACCCTTCCATATATTCTTTATTTCGGTGTCCGCCCGACGGAGTCCATGGTAGGTAACAGCTGCAGGGAATTGTTCCAATACAATACTCGGCCCATTGTTATATGTTTTGATACTATATACAATAACATGTATCTCGTATAGCGAKGTGTAATTACGATAAAAAGTTATATTTCGGTGGTTTTTTGAAAACGTCGGATACGAAACATAATCTCGATGCAACGGTGCAGTATAGAAGATTATAATAAAAMAAAAACCCGAAAAAATTCAAGATGGAATTAGGTAGCTGTACACCACAATAACGACGAACGTTTGTTTCACAAGATCGAAAATTCCGTTTAAAACTCATAGCAATATAATATATGTAGGTATGTAGTGTAGATGATCTTTGACATTTTGCAATAACGCATAAATCAGTGCGTTGACACACAATCGTTGTGCGGAGGCGTTTGTTTTATTTTTTTCCTTTTCGATCGCGATTCGAGCAGACGGCAACACCCGTAAATACACCTTCCAATGTGTTTTATTGTAAATACTATTTCAAATTTATTTTTCGTCCCTRTAACAGTCTGGCTTGCCTGTATKTTTGATAAAATGCACTCGAGAGCGCTATAATCAGCGGCTGTTATAGGACGTGATGCGATAAAAATTCGTTTTATTTCAATTGAATTATATTGATACAAGAGCTTACCTCATTCGATTTAAGTGTAGGTTTCCAAACATATAGAGAGCATCGCACTTTATCATAAACATCAAGTTTTCTACGTTAGAAATTATTTTTACATTKTATATAGATATAATAATATAATGATAAGACATAAAGTTGTTTTTTAGTACAAAATAATTTCCGTATTTTAATACGTATTATCCTTGGTCGTAAATACTAACAAAGATAAAAATATCATTTATTATTTATTCTATTGTGTTTACTCGTAACTCATAGAAGTATTTTCAAGAAATTATTTGTAATCATTGTTTTACGATGCAGTAAAATATTACAAAATTTTAACATAACCCTTTTTTGGTTTYCCGATGATTGACAAACTTTTTTTCTTAATCAGAAGAAAGTTTTTTTGTTTCACAGTCGAATCAATTGTATCGCCCTTCACCACATGATTTGTTCWATGACTTTAGTTCGATACTATTTTCAAAATATATACACTGTATTTATTTACCTATAAATTATGAAAAAATGATATCGATATGTATATACTATACATTACTCTGATTAATATGATAATACACTCTTATTCCTTAACTACTAACTAGACAGTTTCCTTTTTCCGACAAAAATAAAATTTTCTCKTTTTGCTACAAAAAGATAAAATAAAAAATAATAACAGTTAAATTCGATCATAAAAGCATGAATTTTAGAATTTTATGACGTCTAATGATATTATCTTTCATCGAAAACATTGTTCATGAAAACAAATATGTATATTTCATAACAAAATTAATTKTTTTAGTATTTTTTTTTTTTTTTTGTACGTATGTTATACAAACTTATTTATATATACCGTCACTAAATAAACTTTATTGATTTTATATAATATTATATGGTGTCAGTAAGTAATAAAATTATTCATGAAATATATGTTTTTACAATATATACTTTATTCAACCTTTATTATTTCTATGAGTATGATAGAAAGAAAATGGGTTGAAATGGCTCAACAATATTTAAATATATGAATAATATCTACRTACACATGCATCTAATGTTTTAATAGATTTACATTTTCTATGAAGCAGTTTATTTCGAAGAACTACATATTAAAGTTTTTATGAACTTTTAATGTCGAAAAATATTTATCTTCTTACCTTGTTTAAGTTTCAATAATATTTATCTCAGTGTTCCACCATTATYCATTAACAAACAACATTAATGGCTTTGATAAATTTATTATTTTTAGCCATGGCATAATTTCTGCTTAAAAATTATAAATTTAAAACCCRTAAAATTATTTACTTAAAAAAAAAATATACCTATATTGCTTACAAATTCAAACAAAACAATTGAACATTGAACATATAATATATTATAAGATATTCTATATAATATATTTTTTTTTTCTGTTTGTTAAGCATATTATCAACTACTTAGGTTATTAACTTTAACATAAGTATTATATTTTTACATTTTTTCAATTAAATACAAATTATTGGTTTTAAAGATTTTAATTTATTTGTATGTGCTATTAAATTAAGACATAATCTCTACTTATGTAAAATTTTAACTTAATTTATTAATTTAAAATACATTTAGATTAGATCTCGACGATTGCAATACATTTTTTTCTCGTGTTATAATAATAATAATGCATATTTCGACACAAAAAAGTTGGAATTTCTGTTTCATAATATGACAGTTTGAAAGGAGGGATCCTATATAATAATAATAATAATATGGAAAACAAGTTTTGTAAAAATAATTTGCAACTCAAATTTTGTATGTAAATAAATTACAGCCCAGCAACTTGTAATGTGAAATACCGAAATGTCCAACTGTCTATGGGCTTAACAGTTTATTGACAATTCTGCAGAGAGGCGTTTCGGGTAGAATAAAATAATATTACACCCCGACAGTTTCACTGATATTAAAAAAGGATAGAATTAGACATCCTTTGTGTTGTAGTTTATATATAATATAGGCGTCCCTGATATCAACGCTATTGCGTATCTTACGATGTACCAAGTGAATATAATATATACGTTTGGTATATTATATAATATATATATATTATAGGTACTTGGCGTTTTAATCTTTTATAATATTATATTACTGTCTTGATTGCGCTCTTTGAATCGTTTTGTACTCGGTTTTTTTCTTTTTTTAATTGTAGAAATACGCGTTTTTCACGTTTACGAGATTTAATGACAGAAATTGTTTTCAGATTCAGGCCAACAGTGTCGAGATGTTAATGGCATGACTGGAACTCAAGTCACAATGTCCACCGCGCAGCCCACGCTGATACTCAGCGAACTCCAAAAGGTACGGCTCCTTAAGTATTATTATTTCATTAGGTACGAACATTATAATATACATAATATAGGACGTCGCAGAAACAAAGCACGCATTGATGTCTCTTTGAAACTATAAATATATAATTTTGTGGTATATTTATTTTTGTATAATTATTAATTGTGCGTTGATCGTGTGGGAGTAACTTTTGTGTTAATATTATACTTTATCATAATCAAACATTGAAAATGTACTGCACAGGTAGTATGCTTATAAGTCTATATGGCTATATATATTGATCTCTTTGCACTTCGTTGCCCGTTAAAAATACTAACTCTACATGATTCAAAATTTGTGTTCAAAACTTCCCGTGACAAATTCCYATTGATTTACCCTTTCTTAATCTCCACTAAACATTGTTAACACAATCATTATTGTTATAAAATACAGGATTAAATTATATTCTATGTTAATATTTTCTCGTATTTTTAGCTTTGTAAAGGTTTTTTTTTTTTAACAAAATAAATTCTATATTATGCTATCTGTTACAAAAGTAGAACAATGAGCTTAATTGATAAAAAAAATAGTACTGAACAGACAGAATAGGCTATGAGAAGAGGCCTCCCATCAGAGGTACTTCAACATGAATATAAATTTAAGATTTTAATCCTAACATATTTACATAATAGTTAATAGTTATAGTTATAAGTAACAAGGTTCAGAGTTGTAGTGATACATTTTTTTTTTTTTTTTAATATTATATAAGCCGGTCACGACACCAAATTTTGTAAAGGTAAAACAATTTTTAAAATTGGTACTTAATAACAAATTGCTAATTTCTTTTTCATCCATACTAAACAGTATAACCAATAGCAACCTTATAATAAACAAAAATACGTTGATATTTATTATTATTATATCTATTATCTTTATAAAAAAATCTCAAATTTGCAATAAAAATATAAAGGCCTACCTATCAAAATTAAATATAGTCTATAAATCCATGTGATAGTGTAGCTTACCAGTGGAAAAAAAATTAGGTCGGTTAARTAGTTACAGAGATGAAAATGGACTAATTTTCTTCATTTGTATTATATAACCCTTTAAATCCATGTAAGGGGTGAACTTTGAAAAATCCTTTCTTAGAGTTATTTTGAATCATAAAATGATCTTTTGTCTAAATCTCATACTCGTAGCTTCAGCGGTTCCAGCCAGGTGATTTTTTTTTCATTTTTGCCCTTTTTAACCCCCGTAAAGGTTGGATTTCAAAAAATCCTCTCTTAATGAGTGTCTACATCACAAAACTAAACTTCATTTTTGTGTGTCAATGCACTRTATAATATGTACACAGTGTCTCATTTCAAAAAACAAATTGGACATCGTGAGTGTTGTCGAGGATAATGGTCGCTGGATTCTTTAACTTAATAAATAGCTTTACTTATCTGATTTGAGAGGACRTTTACTGACTTAAAATTGCAACACGCGTGTTTTATGACCATTATCCACCACGCTCAAGCCTTAGAAAAGACACGTACACGTAGACTTATCGCGAATTGGGTCTTAAATAGTATTATAAATAACTTTAACCCGATAATATCGAAATTAGTAACATGGTTTCAAGACTATGCATTATAACCTAATTGCGTGATTAAACCCTATAAAATAAAAAAATATACGTATAGGAAAACAGCAGCCAGACCGGGATTAGTGACGCAAAATGGCAAGCGGTCTGCAATTATTCGTGTTTTATTTTAAGCGTTCCACACAGTATTGTCCTGTAGTCCGTACAACAGAACATTAGGTAATGAAATAACTTATTCATTCAATAGCTGGATTACTTTTTTCCTCATTTCGCTTGAAAACTAATTATGGGTTTTTTTTTAATATCAACAATGTAATAAAAACATTAATTACATTTTCCTTTTGACTTCATTCCATATAATAGTTTCATTAAAGCCTAAACATAAAATATAATTTTATTGAATGTTGTTCGTGAATGGAAACAGGGAAGGCGCACAATTTCTAATTATTATTTACAGTTGTATATCAAATTAAAAAATAATATTATATACCATTATAGTTATTAAAAATATGTACTAATCAATCTAAAATTATAACAATTCGATGACAATTTTTCATTTATTTTTAATGGAGTAGGAATTATTTTACTTATACGCTATATAGCCTGAGAAAATCAGCTCACTTTTTTAAGAATAAGGCATAAAGGATGTTTCTTACGTTCAGTCAGAAGCAGCAGGATCTAGTCCCTTGTGTAGCCCCCATCTACCAATGTAGTTTGTATGTTCATATATACAGTGCGTGCCTTTTTTTTTATTGATGTTTAAACTTTAAAGATTAGATGGTTTTTGTATTTATTATGGTTAATGTGTGAATATCAATGTATAATAAATAGACCTGTATAATATGCAACATTTAAAATGAATATTGTAGCTTTTACAAAACATTAAAATCGTAACTCACGTTTTCTCATACATTTTCAAACTTAAATTATTATAATTTATGTGAAACTAAAATCAAATTAGTATAAAAAAAATATACGTACCCATCAAAATGTTGCATTTTATTTTATACCAAAAGTTTTGCCATTAATATAAGTAAATAAGCTAAATTATCATAAAATAATGAGAATTCCGAACATTTACACATCCTATAACATAACTAACAAAACTGAAGTTTTATTTGCCGTCATACGAATAAAATATGGTTATTGTGAATAAAATGAAAATTGACAAATATCAAAAAATAAATGCATTCTCTTAGCTTAAAGTTGTTTTATTGCTGGTCTACTTAAAAATAATATTAATGTATATTATAAGCCGATGGTTTAGTTACACGGAATTAATAGGTTTTATAAAACAGCACTTTTTAACGTTTTAAAAGCATATATAAAGATGACATTTTATTATTATGAGCCTCCTTGTTGATTTAATGATCAAAATATTTGTCTACCACAAAACCATACCTACAATAATAAATCGTCTTCAATAATCTTTAATTAACTATCATAGTATAATATATGTAGTACAGCGAGTTCCAAAGAAAATCTCGTTTGACTAAACCAACCAATAATAGTAAGTTATATCTATAGATATAAATGATATAATGACAACAATTAACCCTTGGAAAATATAATATATTATTATAATATTATCATAAAGGAACGGGTATTTTATAAATAGTACAGAAAAGGTACCCTTTTGCGTAGGAGAGTGGGTCGAAGTTGAATGTAATRATGGTTATTTTCAATTTGATATGTGAGCATAAACAAACGAGCATAAATTAATCTGCGCGTTCAACTTTCGCAGGTCCATGATCGATCAACCGTGAATTAAATGWTTTAATTGCTGCAACCGCATAATCATGTAAGCTGGTAACAGTTTTGTGATTAACATAATCAAACACACGTAAAAAATGTGCGTACTAATAGTTCTATATGGGCCCAATCGTTAGGTGTACCTATATTATTTAATTATGAAAACAATTAAAATGGTAAATCGTATATGTTAAAAAGCAGTCCCTATGTGCTATTDTTGTAGCCACAAATCTATAATACATATATTATTAAAACATTTCGTAGAGAGAAAATTGTTTTTTATTTTTATGTTGTTCACAAATTGTATAAAATAAAATAGTACCTATATAAGCTGACGACCAATATTAAAAAATGCCATCGAGTMAGTGTAGTACAAATAATAAACATTTCATCACTAATAYGCATATTGTTATAGCACATGAGCAATACATTATACTGATTCTTTTAATCAGAGATCGGGTACAGTATTTGGGCCATGGTATATTTTTTTTTAATTAAAATATCAAATGATAAGAAATCGTTTGTAAAATACAATTTTTGCTCGGACCTGAATGGGACATTGTAAGTTTGTGCTATATTTAATGTTTTTCAACATTATTATTATACTTTTCTAAGACCTCTATTATTATTGTCTTTATTATTATTATAAAATAATGCAACAACCTTAACCGTTAATCTCGCCATATTAAAATAGCTAACCTGACCTAWTACCTCCCGTTAAAAAATATGTTGAAACATGTTCTTTGCTTATTAAATTATTATRTGTGCTCTCTTTGATTACCTGTACCTATTAATTATTATATTTGTGTAAATAATCCGTTTGATATTATTATTGAATTACTTAAATAAATACRGTCGGTATTTAACTTTTATCATTTTGATTGCGTTATACATTCATTAACTATGTATTTTCTTCGAAAACTTAATTTGTGCATTATTTTATTTTTCATTTGTTTAGTGGCAGTATAGTATTGTCTTTTATTCGCCAAATATAAATTTAATTCCGAGTTATTAGCCATTGACAGCAATAATTTGAGTTACTATTTAGCCTTAATCACGACTGTTTCTTCGGAGTATTGTCTTTGTTATATAATGGAAATATACTGAGAAATAAAGAGAATTTACTACCTATATAATTATACAACGATTTAGTTTCAGTATTCCATCAGTTRTTTATTATTTGAGACGATTAATACTTAAATCTATAATGTATAATAAGCATTTAAAACATTTGTAATATTTTGCAAATAAATTATTCTTGATAACGTCATTATCCATTGAATTCATTTCTGTATTCTTAACTGTTCTAATTTTTTTAAATACCATCTTTCTATGTAGGATGTTGGTATACGCATTATTGGATAATGACTTTCAATATTCATTGTTTTACCAACGTGTATATAATTATTATATATTATATTAAAGTTTGCCTCATGAAATTGATATCATAATATAGGTCGTTTATATAAAACTACCAATATTATTTTATTTATAACTATAACAGAGATTCTACAACGAATGCTATTCTATTTGACGACGCTTACTTGGGGAGAGAGACGAGAGATTTATAGACGATAACTCGTTTTCTAAACATTAAACTGCTATACAGCATTCTTAAAATGTACCTTTGATAAGTAGTTTTTCTAAATCAACAAGTCTTAGACAGCGATTAATATTGATATAGGTATATTGTTGA